TGCTAGCACTATAAATCGGCATCAGTCCGGACTAGTACAAGCAGCCACACAAACACACACACGTACATGCATGTCGCTATATAAGTGCAATAATCTTGGACGAGACGTTAAACCCCATTTCACCTCACCTCACCTCTCCTTTAAAGGTAAACGATAAAATTATATGTCGATGGCAAATTAAAAGGCCGTTTTAATGTTTTAACAATGCAGTGACGCCTTATTATAACTGAGAAATCGCTGATTTAACAGTTTAGATTTATCGTAATCACTCGTTAGTACATGTACGTTTACATTGCAACATATACACACAGTGTAAATTTACATTTACATTTGCACCTGCTACAGACATGATGCAAATTTGCTCCTGGTGTAAATATACACACATGAGTAAACGCGTTCACATGACAAGTATACTCACGTATGCATTTCAACACACGTATGCATATATACACACATATATATAGAGGCACACGTGAACGGGGTATTCTTCTTTGAAAACATTTCTTTGAAAAAAATGTTGTTGTTTTTCAAAAGAACCTGTCCTCTTCTGCTGTGGAATCAAGGTAACTAGATTTGGTTTAGTTCGATCTATCCTTGCCTTGACTTTTAGTAAAATAAATAATCATATAACTAGTACCCTGTCTTAGCACAAATGCGTAGAAGACCAGACAACTTCGCATACGCTTCAGTTTGGTTTCCAACTTTCCATATAGGGGTCACCGAGTGCATCTGCTGGAAACGTCAACACAGTCAGGCTGTTGAAAACTGTTTCGAGCGCGAAAGTTGCAAGTAGACACTTTAAAAAACTAAACTGTCGTAAATGTTTCGCGGACAGTTTATCGGATGTTTCAACGGCGCGTCTATTCGTCTTATTTAGTCCAGTTGAAATCCCTTTTCAAAAGTCTGACGCTGCATACATGTTAACTGAAAACGACCACGAATCAAGGCCTATGCGATGTAGTTAATCTTAACAGTAACGCGACCCCCTACATTAACGTGAAGCTTTTAGTGAACTTAGAGCTCGGCGTTAGCGGGATTTAACGGCGACCGCCAGTACGACAGTACCTAACATATAACGTCAAACAGCACGTGCCACTCTTCGGTGCTCTTCAGAACGTTTTGGAGATTATTTGGTTTCTAATTTTTCAGTTTTGTCATTTGAAATTTGTATTATGTCAGTTAAGGGGAAATTGTCCTCCCCTGTAGCTTCATCACAAATTCTTCCGTCATCCAGATCACGAAATAGGCATTCAGCTGCATATGCATATTTAAATAATATGTTGTTGTTTTGCTAAAGGACTTCAACATGTCATGATAAAATTACAAATTCAAATGACTTCAATTGTCATTCCTCTGTATAGTTGCTTTTCCAGCGTAAAAAAAAACCGTGTTCTTTTGATCGAAATATGAAGGAATGTAGCGAAAGTAGTCCCGTAATGGTCAGGGTTCTACCAATCAAATGCCTAGAATAACAGAAAAGTGATACGTGCGCACTGTGCAAATATCAGAAATATGTGCACCGATGTGTTTCACACCTGGGGTAATACATGTAAATACATTAAAACATAATAATATTGGTTTAAAAGTTAGGAAACATTCAATGTCAATCAAAATAACTTAAATGTTTTGTCACTATTTTTATATATTTTGTAACCATATTCATGTCTCCTACATAACAATACTAGGAGCACTCCAGGATTAACAATGATCAAGATTGAACAATGTCAATGTTCTCATTAAGTCTTCATATCCCATTTTATTATATGCTGTGTATGTAAACGTGACATTAAGAGGTCCCGACAGACACATGATTGAACCGTTACATGACACAATGACACAATGCGAGCTTTAATAGTTTGATGGAAAGTTCGACACAACCACGGGGGTATCTATAAGGATGTAGATAGTTCTATAAACTGCCGGGAGACAGAAAGAAGACATTGGATTGTTGGTAAACACCGAACAAACAAGAAATGGTTATTTGATGGTGACGTATTTGATACGGGTATCATAGTTGTATTTTAGACTGTATATTTGCATTGTTTCGGCGATTGTTTTCGGTCTTGTAACGTTTTGATAACGTTTGTAATGTATTGGTGTGTATACTGCCTTTTGAATGGAGTGAGTGAGTATGGTTTTTACGCCGCTTTTAGCAATATTCCAGCAATATCACGGCGGGGGACACCAGAAATGGGCTTCACACATCGACCCATGTCGGGAATCGAACCCGGGTCTTTGGCGTGACGAGCGAACGCTTTAACCACTAGGCTACCCGACCGCCCCCTTTTGAATGGAAGTTTAGTTATTGCGATTTACACTAGCCTAGTGCTTGCATTTCAATTAAAAATATATTTGTTTGGTAATTGATTGTGGATATAATAAATTTTGGATCATATCAAGGTTCATCTGGTTTTGTTGCTGGTCACGAGATTTGAGACATATCGATATTTGTACTTTTTCAAAACATTACATCACGACAACTTTAACAATTGAAAATACCACCCTTGATTCCAAGCATGAACATTATTTCATATTAAGTTGAAGCTTGGCAAAATATTAATAGAAATAATCCTCAACACACGCCACCGCCATAAACAACCGCGGACTGAGTCATGTTGTGTTGTCGTTTGTTAAATTGTTTGATAGGCATTACATAGAAGTTGACGGATGACAAGGTAGACACAATTTAATGGATAACAACTTTTTTAATACTGTAAAAAGCGATGTTTTGGCAAGATCCATACCGTTGTCAAGCAAGGATCTATACCGAAACCTCGCTTTTTACAGTATTAAAGAAGTTGTTATCCATAAAATTGTGTCTACCTTGTCGTTTGTTAACGTTAAAAAGGTCCTGTTAATTGTCGAGCGATTTGTTTCTTTAGACGAGGCTCTTAACTTTTTATGCAGCTTTCATCAATATGCCCCGAGCCTCCGGATGTCGAATGACATCATACTAAAAACATATACCAACATGTTCAGAACTGTACCATTAATATAATGCAATGTGGCGCTTTTGAGCAGCCAAGTTGAACTTTGTCGAGTCCCTTTCATGTCAGTGATACATGATTTATGGTTACAGCCTGTGTCATTATCAAACATTTTCTATCACCGGAAACATGTCAAGAATGTCTGTCTGTACTAACAATACAGACACTCCTTTTGCAATATGTCATCTTCTACATTTACAATAACATTCACTCCGTGAAGATCCGGGTTTCAAATGGTCTACACCAGCCCATGTTTGTCGTTTGTTTATTTGTTTGTTGTTTAACGCCGCACATTCCAGCTATATGACGGCGGCCTGTAATTAATCGAGTCTGGACCAGACGATCCAGTCATTGCATCTTGAGCATCGATCCACCTAAATGGGATGCGATGTCATGCCTCGACCAAGTCACTGAGTCTGACCACCCGATCCCGTTAGTCGCCTCCTACAAGCATAGTCGCCTTTAACGGCAAGCATGGGTTGCTGAAGACCTATTCTAACCCGGATCTTCACTGGTACCATGTTTGTCGTAAGAGGCGACTAACGGCATCGGGTGGTGATGCTAGGTGATTTAGTTGAAGTATGTCACCATATCCCAATTCATCAGATTGTCTCGTCCAGACTCGATTAGATTCATTGACCCGAAATATTGCTGAGTGCGGCGTTAAACAACAAATAAACATTAATGTACAGTGAACTACGGTTATAACGAACTCAAAGGGACTACTTTTTTTAGTTCGTTATAACCGTAGTTCGTTAAAAGCATATATACAGCATAACTACAGCAAATAATCGGGACCAAAAAAAGTAAGTTCGTTATATCCGTCAGTTCGTTATAAGCGTGTTCGTTATAACCGTAGTTTACTGTACATGTATTTTAAGCTCATATATGTACATGTGTTAACTGCTGCATAGGTCTCTACTTTAAAATAGTGCAGATTTCGCCTTTTAAATATGAATGTTTGGAGTGAGTTTATTGTGCCTTAGGTGTTTGAATGTATGGAGTGTTCCTGTTAGCATAATGCATGGCATGCTAAGTAAACGATGACGATAATGTACCACTGCTTTCAGTGATGCTGGCATGAACACATCGACATGCGTAAAGGCGCCGGAGTATGAAGTCATGCTTATAAGATACATCACCTTTTGGTCTCGGCGTTAATATAAAGAAAGGAAACTAAAAAAACAACAACACAAATTAGCATGCATTTTATGTTCATTTCACAGAGTGAGTGAGTTTGATTTTACGCCGCTTTTAGCAATATTCCAGCCATATCAGGGCGGGGGACACCAGACATGGGCTTCACACAATGTACCCATATCGGTAATCGAACCCGGGTCTTCGGCGTGACGAGCGAACGCTTTAACCACTGGGCTACCCGACCGCCCCTTTATTTCACAGAAAAGAACGAGGCTCACTTAAAGGAATGTGTAAATGAAAAAGGTTTCGAATGCATGTCTCCCAAGGGGTTACATATAAGCTTTCGTTCTACATATTCCTTAATTACCCAACGCTATTTCAATATTACAGTAAACTACGTTTATAACGAACACGCTTATAATGAACTCACGGATATAACGAACTTATTTTTTGTCCCGACTATTTGCTGAGTTAAGCTGTATATATGCTTATAACGAACTACGGTTATAACGAACTAAAATTAGTTGTCCCTTTACATTCGTTATAACAGTAGTTTCCTGTAAAACAAACTGGATGGAATGCACATGTATTACGGTCCACAGTCTCCCCAACACAAAATTATGCTAATTTGAGTGACACCCTCCACTTGAGAAATGTATATTTCTTGCACTGTCATCATCAGGAAGGCATTACACAGCCATATTAATGTGTTGGATTACCTCGGGGCGGGGCAAATATGTACACATGAGCTTTCTAAGCATGTCTCTGTCAGCAGTGGGCAATGCAGGTACGTCACCGTGACGTACTTCCGACTACAATGGCCACTTTAAGTAACAAATTGGTCTAATATATACATGTTGTTTATGCTGAACTTCTTCGTTTTACGTTGTAGAAAACTGTTGAACATGTTTGTTGTGTCTAGGCTTCATTAAGGTTTCCAGGCACGTTGCAAATACGTCTTCACTCTTACAGCATGACATCCGGCTGTCGGCCGTCTATTTTAGAAGGAAGCACGTTTTACAAGGACATTTTCTATATTTACAAACGGGGAGGTAGACAAGTTATATGTGTGAGCTCATTTCCATCAACTCTAGTGGTGTAGAATAGGAATAATATTGCAAACAAGGTGAGTACATCTTCAGATATATCTACCTTACATGCTGTTGGCAGCCATGGATGACAAAGACAAGAGTCCTGTGTTATCGTAGAAATGGTCAATAGTATACGTGGAAAATAAGTTGGTGTGGTTTGTAGAAGGACATAAAATGGACATTTTTCTTCATGAATACACGGGTCTCTAGTTCCTAATATTCATTATATTCATGTATATACGTGTATATATGTGTTATACTCATGTATATTATGGGGTAAAATGACTTTTTATTTCAAAGGAATTTAAAGGTGCATGTGCCATCATGGTTGCTGATGATGTCTCCTCTGTGTCAGACAACCCCTTAACAACTACATATACAGAAAAAAGAATGCTTTGGAATATTTTTTAGTTCCAACACTAGTATGAAAGTAAATTTGAAATAGACGAAAGTTATGGTATTTAGAAGAAATGGAGGACTTTTAAAGTCATGAAAAATGGACATACAATGGTGGCAATATTGGGGTTGTTTCATTCTATAGATATCTTGGTATAATTGATTTGGGTACTGGCTCAAATTTGTCTACCAGGCGAGAGCACTAAAGCTGTGATGGCCATTAACATATATCAGAGGACAGTTTGAGATATACCATGCAAGGAACTTTTCACAATTTTCGATACTATGCTCCCTCCTATTCTGTGTTATGGTGCTGAGATCTAGGGAGCAAGTTACTGAAGACTTATTGAAAATGTGCAAATACAAATGTGCAAATCGTTTCTTAAAGTTGGTGAAAACACATGCACTATTTTGTTCCTTGAAAAAGGGGTCGACCTGTGCAATTAACTTACATGACAAGAGCTGTGGAGTACTAGTGCCGGTCGACTACCATACCAGTGATACAAGATGGTAACTGCATTGGGTGGTACTGGCCGGATCATCTGGGCCGCCCAAATTGAGAATATTCTATTTACCTTTGCACTTGGGCTTGTATGGGTATCAAGAAAGCATATATATATATATATATATATATATATATATATATATATATATATATATATATATATATATATATATATATATATATATATATGTGTTCAGAGATTTTTTAACAACCCTACAACAAACCCGCAATAAAGTCAACAATGTATCAAAATCGTAGTTTTATAAGCATTTCAAATCCCTTTTAAATAATGAAACCTATTTAAATGTTTCTATGCCTGTTCATCTAAGAATAAGTTTGCCGCGCTTCAGAACTTTAAACTATCTGTAAATACCGGAAAACACCATGACATACTCTATGAAAAAAGACTCCGATTGTCTCCGATTGACACCGATTGTCTCCGATTGACTCCGATTGAGTCCGATTGACTCCGATTGTCTCCTTAGAGGAAAATACGACATTGAGAATGAAATTCATTTTTTGCTTGTGTGTGCATAATATAATACTGTGCGTACTGCTTTTATAGGAATATGTATAACATTCACATCTATGCATTGCTTTATAAAATTTACCACATCTCAAATTTATGAAATATCGAAAACTGCAGTGTAATCTCCATAAAGTACAGCAACGCATGAACAGTTGCTCACATTATATATCTGTTAATTGTATATATTAATCCCTGTACACAGCGCAGGTAAATATTATTCTGGTAAGAAAAACGTACAACTTTATGGGTAACAACTTTCTGGTTTATTGCATATAGCGACGTTTGGATGTAGATTCTTACACCGTTATACACTGAGTGACAACTTACCTCGCTCTCCCTGCAATCACTTATATTTACCAAGAATAATGGGAGGGCGTGGTTTGGTTAACGTGGAGACTCTTCATGATAAAACTGTATTGTGCACCTTTGCACACATTTATTTGTCTGATGATCCTCCTGTGAAGCATGTCAAGACTCATGATGAAAACAAGGCATTCCATAGCTTCATTAAAGGGGCCAAGGATGTGGGACATAATCTCAATGTCAATGTTGATTTTGTTGATGGTTCTGTACTGCTGGACGGTACAAAAAAAGAGTGTCAACCAAGCGAAGTGCCATATCAAATCGGCCCAGACTCAGTTTTTCAAAAAGGAGCTATCTGAACGACCACTGCATCCAGTTTATGTGCGCTGTGTTGAGAGGATAAGCAACCTAGCAGAGTCCTTCGCTTGGATGAAGTCGGCTGGCCTATAAAGTGAAACAGAAGGCTTTCTGTTTGCTGCTCAGGACCAGTCACTTCCTCCTCGAAAACCGTCAATGTGTGATTTTGCTTCAAAATGTAAATATGAAATGTAGATTTTGCAATGAATTTAATGAGACTGTCCATCACATTGTCAGTGGATGCCCAGCTTTGGCACAAACACAGTATCTTAACCGACATGATGGAGTGACTCGATCATTTTATTACCGTCTTCGCATACCTGTGGTTTTGACACAGAGGTCCATCCATGAATATGTAGAGGGCGTCATGGACAATGATAAATTACAGGCCCGTATACAACCTCACACCTATCCAGGCCAACAAACCTGGACTTGTCCTTTTTGAGAAATCCATTGAAATCATTTACTAGTATATCCCTTGTGTCCCTTTTGACACTAATGTGATTGACAAGAGTCAGAAAAAGCATGGCAAATATGCAGCCTTCGCTTTTGAAATGTCACGCTTGCATCCCAAGTACCAAGTTGTCCGACTCCCCATTGTTCTCGGTGCCTTAGGCTTGGTACCTCCCAATCAGTTGACTGACATTGGGAGAGTACCCGGGTTTGCTACCAGGAATACAGCCCTTCTGACAATCTGGGTAATGCAGAAGGCTGCAGTGGTCGGGAGTCTCCGAAATGTTCTGGATGGGTTTGACTTCCTGGGAGAAGTCCCATTCGCTGCCTGGGCTGCGTGTGGAGGGGGCAAGGGCTGATGATGAGCCTAACCAGCCTGACTGTGCCAGGATGACCCAAACCCTCCATTTTTTATTTTAACCTGGAAATAATAATAATAAATCTCTGCTAAGTGTGCAGTCTGTAGAGTCCGTCTTAAGATTCCGACAAAATCATAAACATGTGTTTGTGAATCAGTAACGTACGTGCCCCTTTGAAGCAGAAGGGGTGTGTGACGTAGTGGAAGACGTTGCTCATAAACACGCGGTTGTGTGGTTGTGTGAGTCGGTGTAGATGCAGGTGTCGTGTGGTAAGTACAGTACTGGTAGAGTATCAATACCCAATGTTGTGTTGTCAGGTCCTTGGTAAACATCACATTGTGGTTAAGTCACAACGCATGATGTTGTGAAACTATGCTCTGGCAATATCCACATTATTCTTAATACCGCTCTATTGTCATCATTCATAACACACAGGAAGTATATAGTATCCTCGTTATTGCAATTATGAACATTGCATAACCGTACCATTGATATATATTTATTATAGTTAACGTCATGAAACTTTGCCATTGCAATATTTTCATTATTTTCATTGTGAAACTATGTCATTGAAAGGTCGACGTTATTCGTGACGTTATTTTTTACGACAATGAAAACAAACCACGCAGCAAATGTAATGTTTCCGCCGTCGTGAGATATTTAATCTCCTCATGACACACAAAATGGTAGCACATTCCTGTTCGGCTTAATGTGGTCGTTAATGAGTGTAGTTTTCAAGGCGCTAGCCGTATTCTATCTTTATAAACATCAAGCTGAATGCCACTTCCTGCACACAAACATTACCATTTGATTGATAGAGTGAAACTATCCTCTGTCTGAGGATACAGTGGTGTTTGTCTACAGACAGAGAAAACATCAGCATTAAGAGGAACACGTGCACATACTTTTTTGGGAGAGTGATTGGTGTTTTTGACGTAGTGAGTTTATTTCATGACGGACTGTAGGCCACATAAACCAGTGATGGACAACATGAGCACATATCCAAGACGTTGGGCCTCGGTGAAACATCACGCGTTAGGTCACACATCGAGTATTAATTTTTATAGGGACACAATCCACTGAAGGGTCGAGATAAGGCAACCGTCTTCTTGATAGTTAAGGAGTTGGGTTTGAACAGTATTCCAGTTTTATCATAGCGTGTCAGCTTAATGTGGGAGGAAAGGCCGAAGTGATGCAGGTCTCAGGCATTTACCACTTCTGTGAAACCCACGAGCACCGGTATGGTGCTGACAAACCTAGAAACATAATCGGGGCGAACCGGGATTCGAACCCACAATCATAGGTTTCTGGCGTGTCCACGGGACGCAACTCTGCATAGCGAATAGCGGCGCCTTAGACGACTGTGCCACCCGTGCCCCCTAATAGATAAGAAATGAATGTTGATTAACCTGCAGTCAGCAATACTTCAGCTATATATCACCGTGCCATGTAAATAATTGAATCTGGTCAAGTCAAACCAGAGACTGCAAGCATAAGAAAAGATGAACGGCGTAGAGGGCACGATCACACGCAGTGGGCGGAGTGGACAAGCGGTCAAAAGCGCCAGGCTAGCAAGCACCAGGTCCTGAGATCGTATCCCGCTAGTGACCGAGTTGTTATTCCGCCTTGGGACCAACAATGTTTACAGGTCTTTACAGTGTTCTCACTATCTTTAATGTACAGTACATCCATCCTGTGCACCCAAGAGAACCCATTCGTCCGATTGTAGATGACCAGATGGTGAAAACACGAATACGTACATACACAAGTACTTCTAAATGCCTATCAAAGAAGTTACAAGTGTCGAAACGTGTGGCCTCACCCTGGACAAGTGACTTAGTTCAAATGTGCCTGTGTTCACCCAGCAGGGTATGGGTACGGATATGTGAGGTAGATGTCAAAACCCCCCAGAGCCCGCAGGCAGCTTGGGTAGTATACTCCCCAGGGAGTTGAAAATGGAATACAAACGGATCCACTGGTCGGGGAATAGATAAAGCCGCATTGGAGTAGATACTAGTACCTGGATACTTGCGGTATGTGAATGTATGATCTTACTTTGACTTACTGTCAGTTATCCATTCATATAATTGTCAACACTTTTGCTTTTATGGCTAATGGAACGTTTAAGGACAG